CTCCAGCTGTAAGGTATAATTCACACTGAAGTCTTGCTCTGGTCTGCGAAGAGATGCTGTGGAAATGGTACTGTGGGGTTTCTCCTTTGCATCACAGTGACTGAACTCGATATGTGCAGAAATAAAGCAGGAAAAAGAATGTATGTGGTTAACCAAAGTCTGTAGCTTTATTGATTCAGTGAATTGATCAGCCTTAAAGAGAATGTTAAGCCACCCTGATGGCTAACCAGCAGACTCCAGCAAGAAGCCCTTCAATCACTCTGCATTTCTCAGTGGAAGGAGGAGATGCAGCCATCCATATCCTCTGTTACCTGTCCTTCAGGGCAGACTCAGGGACTTGCTTGCAGCAGACCAAAGCCCTGTCTGCATTGGATACCTCTTCCCAACGTACCCAATGTGCTGTTTTATGAATTATGTCTATGCTGTAACCCAGAACTGTCTCTTACAAATACATTGACACAATAACTGGACTTTGTGGCAGCTGGCATGTAGCTGAGGGGGTGGGGGGGAAAGTATGGTGTTGGCCAGGTTTACTTTAAGAAAAAATTGCCATCCAAACTTGAAGTACTGATTAGCCCCAGCCTGAGTGAGGCAGTCAGAACTGGTAGAACAAAGGACAAGAGTAAAACCACAATAAAAGAAATTAAGCCACATGTCTGGAGGGATATGGTTCACCAGTTATCAGCATCCCATCGTGCTTCTGATGATCCATCTGAAGCTTGGAGGAGGGAAGGGGAAGCAGAAAGACTTTGGCGCTGGGGTGTTTCATTGTGCAAACCTCAAGGAAGGAGAACAGGGAGGGCCTGGTTACTGCCCGTCCACTCCCATCTTCCTCCTCACTGGCTGCTTCCAGCATATCATTCATGAAGGAGGTTAAAACTAAGTTTGTAGTTGCTCTTCCTCCATTCCAGTGTCTGCCCTGCTCTGCAAGCTAAGGTTGGTTGTGGAAAGTCTTCTGCTGCCCTAGCGCTGCCTAGTGAGGCTGTGAGCACCAAACACTGCAGTCTGTGGAAGGATGCAGAAGACGCAGCTCCCCGATGCAGCAGGGACCACGCGAGGTTGCATAAATAAGTAGCTTTTGTAGTCCAGTGTCCTGCCCCCTGCCAGCCAGGCATCTTCCTTTGTGGTAAAAAATCAGGGAACAGCATTGTCCTTGGGTGTTTGTTTTTAACTGAGGTGGTTAACAGTTTGCACATATTCATACCTAAGGGTTTGCTATTTTATTTATCCAATATACTGCAAGGGGGAGTGTGATCGTCTTGAACGCTGGACAGCTGTAGGGCACCTGTTCTTAAAATACTGCAGGGAAGACAGATAGCAAGGAGTGGGAGAGACTACCTGGCCCCTCATGGCAGCAGAAGACCGTGTATTCAGGGAATGACTTGGGCTGCATGTTTTGACACGATACGTGTGGTAACCCATGGGGAAAAGAGGTGCTGCACAGATTTCAGCCATGCTGGCCACAGAGGAGCAGGCGGTACAGTCCCCCTCTCCACAGGGAAGTTGAGCAGATCTGCCTGCTTCCCTGCTGCGGTTCGGATGCTGAGCCCCCGAGACTCTTACTGATAAATGCAGATTGTCCAATTGTATCCAAATACTTATCCCCATCTCTAAAAAAACCAAACCAAGACAGCAAATACAGGGACTGGACTGGGGATACCAACCTGTTGGCTTGTTGGTGTTTTGGCTGTATCTAGCCTCCCATTTAATTATTAAAGGTTTTTGTTTTTTTCTTTTCCCTTTTGCTTATCTTGACTCTGAATGCAGGTGCTTTCAACCTCTTGACAACCCAGAGTGAGTCCGGTTGCTCTGGATAACACATTGGATACACACATGCTGTGAGTCTCTGAGGTGGTTTTAGTGCTGCATTGGAGCCCATGCAGGTCTGCGTTACTTAGCAAACGTTAACAGCAACAGTCAGATAAGAAGCCTGATAATAAATCAGTTGTAAGTGTCA